AGAGGAGCGTGGATGGCCAGTGCTACAGACCCTGCTGCTCCACCCAGCAGCTCCGCATGCTCCAGGACCCCCAAAGCCCCTGGAACCCCCCAGCACCGCACAACAGCCAACACAGACACTGGACAGTAATGGAGGAGCAGTGCCAGAATTGGACAGACAGCAGACCTGCATGGCCTCCTCGGCTCCTCTCACTACAGCAGACTAAACAGCCCCACAGGTATTTAATTTTAAATTGTCCAAGCAGCTACGACAACTTTTCACTGGCAGAATCCAAAGCAGAGGGGTTGTGACGCTCTAGCGAGGGAAACTGAGAAAAATGTAAAGGAAAATGAGCACAATTTCACTAAAGAGTTATTTTTTTCACACTCTCTGTGTGAAAGCTCACAGAGATCTTACAGACAGAAGCCTGCCCACAGCTGTAGCATCCCCGAAGCCCACTGGATGTTACAGTGTCCCTGTGAGCAGCCATTGCAGCCCAGCAAGACAGAGCCCACTACCAGGCAAGACTGCAGCCTCCCGCTCAGGCTCCCACCTGGATTTTCCCTGTCTGAAGCAACACAACTGGCAAGACCAGCAGCACTTATCACTGCCCAGGTGAGGCAAAGAGCCCAGAATGCCCCTGCCTTAGCCACACACTGAGGGTGAACCACCCAGCGAGTCCTCCGCATTCCTCTGTGCAACTTTCTGCTCCTTGCCTTTATTTTTTTCAGATATGTTTTAGGATTGGCTTTTTTCTTTTAAGGAATATCTCTTATCCCGCACTCGCTTCCGAAGTATCTCCCTCCCAGCTGGCACTGCCTGGCAGAAGGAGAACGGCTCGGTGCAGTTCCCTGCGAGGTTTTGCACCGATGACTCCTGGCAGGGCTGCATGTCCCTCCTGTTACATAACGACCTTTCCCGTTTGGTGCTGGCTCCACTTGGGGTGGCCACGTTTGGGAGTGGTCACATTTGGGGTGGCGACGTTTGGGGTGCTCACATGCCCCAGTGCACTCAGCCGTGTGGTGCCAGGCACCATCCCCCCATCCTGACCAGACCCACCAAACCGGAACCACTCTCCCTTCTCCTTATGCCTCCCTCCTTGCTGCTGGACCTCTGCCCACCGGGCAGCACCCCGCTTTCTCCTGCCCCATAAACACGACACTCCTCCTCGGGCATTCCATCCCTTCCCACACCCAGCCCCAAATCGCACCTTTGCCCTCCCCAGCACCCACGGGTGTCCCGGCGCTGCCAGCTCCCCTGGGGCTGTACCCTCCAGCAGTGACCTGCCTCGGGTGCCTCCATCACCTCCCTGAGCCCCACTGCACCTGCCTCACCTCACCTGCCTTCTCCCTGCTGCCCACACCCCACAGCCGCACCGTCTCTCCCCTCGGCTCGCAGTCCGTGCACACTCCTGTCTCACCTGCCTGCGTTCGCCTGCAGGTGCCCCACAGATCCAGCACCCCACGGCACCTCCTGCCCCCCAGACACCCCTGTACCCACGGCACCAGCCCCCATCACACCTCTCCGGCACCGCTCCGCACCCCGGCCCCGCTCACCCCTCACCCGGCACGGCTGCACCTCCTGCCCGCGTGCCCCCCCCGCGCAGCGCCAGCGCTCGCGCCCGCCAGACGGCGCCACTCGTGCTCCCGCGCTGGCCGTCAATGAGCGGCCCGTCTGCCGTGACGTCACGGCCCGGCGGCCAATGGGCGCGCAGTCCCGCATGAGGTTACACGCAACAGCCAATGAGCGCCCGCTCACCCATGAGGTCACGGGCTGCTGCAGGATGTCACACACCACTGACCAATGAGGTGTCCCCTCTTCCATGAGGTCATGTGCTCCTCCTGGAAGTCACAGCCTGACAACCAATGAGAATCTGCCTCTTCCGTGATGTCAGAGGCTGTCTCAGGACATCACACCCTGCCAGCCAATGAGTGTCTTGTGCCATTGTGAGGTCATGCACTGTCTTGTGATGTCACACTCTGCCAGTCAGCAATTGTTGTGCTCCCTGTCAGATCACAGGCAGCCCTGCAATGTCACATGCTACTGTCCAATGAACACCCTGCTACCTCATGACATCATGGCAGTCGCTCTCAGCCAGGCAATGAGCACACAGGCTCCTGTGAGGTCACAGGCTCGCTGATGAGGCAATGGACCCTCAGCCAATAACAACCCTGTCCTTCCCATGGCCACCCAGAAACCAACCAGTAACCACCACTGCTCTCCTATGACATCACAGGCCAAGCCAATGGGCTCACACAGTGCCAGTCTCAGCCACCCAGCACCGCCCTTTCCATGAGGTCACACAGCACTCAGCCAATGGCCGCGCTCTCTCGGTGTGAGGTCACAGGCTGCCCACGAGGTCACACAGCACTCAGCCAATGGCCACGCTCTCTCGGTGTGAGGTCACAGCTGCCCATGAGGTCAGAGAGCAGCCCACGCCCCGGGCTCCTCCCGCCCCGTGCCGGTAATGAGGGCCGGTAATGAGCGGTGCCGGGCCCGCGGGCGGAGGGACGCGCTGTCGCCGCCGGTCCCCTGCTGCCACCCTGCGGCTGCCACGGCCCGGACCCCCCTCGGGGGACCCCAGCGCGAACCCAAAATTGTCCGTGGGCGCGGCAGCCCGGGCGGAGCCGAGCCCGGGCAGTGCCGGCGGCTGCTTTTTATGGGCTGTGAGTCAACTCCCACGCGCTAAATCCTAAAATAAACGTGAAACTGGGTCCAGCCTCACCTCGCAGCGCACCGAAATAGCAACCGGCTCCAACAAGCTCCAGGAACGAGGGACCTCCGCCCCTTCCCCGCCCCTTCCGTATGCCCCGGCCCGGGGAAGCGGTCACTGCTGTCCCCCGAGGAGCAGAGTGGGGTGCAGAAGGTGTGACACGGCAGCAAAAGAGCTTTGGAGGATATGAAAGGACTAAGAGAATAAAATAGCTTCAGTTCTGGGCAGGGCAACAGATGTGCAGTAAACCAGAACAAAAATGCACCAGAAACAGCCCAGCAGCAGCAAGTCTGGAAGGTTAGAGTGCAGGAGTGGATGAAAGAGGCCAGGACTTAGAAGGTGGCCAGGACACACACAAAATGTTTGGTTTGTTTGGATTTTTTTCCTGAGGTGATGTATTCCCCACACACAGGAGACTCAAAACATCCACCTTGAATGCAGCAGAGGTTGGAGCAGCTGCCAGCAACAGCGCTGGTGCAGGTAGTGCCCAGACAAGATGCTCAAACCTGTTGAAACTTGCCTTGGTATTAAAACAGCCCCAAAAACCCTTCTCAACCCCTCCACAGCAGGCAGGGATCTGTTCTCCCATTATGGGCAGACACCACACGTGCTCTCCAGCACCCCAACATGGAAGCCCATGTTTCCCACCAGCCCCACCCCCAAACCTTCACTGCTGTCTTCTTAAAAGGGCCTTCGTGAACTGGAGAGATCCAGAGCAAGTCTCACATTTTACAGACACTTGGTACCTACCTCGAAGGGACAAGGACAGCAGGCTCTCTGCAGACCCTCTCCCAGGCTTCTCCGCTGCAGAATTCACTTTGCTTAAGTCCCCCCTCCCTTAAGCTTCTTTGTTTCCCAGCCCTCTGAACCCTCTCTCTCCTGGCTCCTCCAAACTCTCCCCCCATTCCACTTAATTCTGCAGTGAGCCTCAGGTGATGCAGATGAGACACAGCTCATGCTCTGCAGGGCTGTGCCTTGTCCACTTCCCTGGGGATGGGCATCACTGCCCCCATGGCTGCACCCCACCACTGTCCTTCCTTGCAAAAGAGGCCTGTCTCCCAAGGGCTGGCACCCCAAAGGAACCTGAAGGGTTGAGCACACCCATCACTCAAGCTCAGATCTCCACCCTGAGGTGCAACAGGCTGGAAAATGCTCAGAAGCCAGTTGTGTTAACAAGTATGCACAGCAATATGTTTTATTCCCTAAAAACATGTTTTTAGCCAGTCCAGTAATACAGATTTGGCCTGAAGCAGCTGGAAATAGGAAAGGTCAGATTTGTACAGAGTGCTTTATTAGGGGCCTCACCACATCTGTTCCTTGCAGTTTGGACAGCCCTGCTTCAGGTGTGGATCTCCTGTTCCACGGCTCCAAGCTGAAGAACCCAGACAGGTTCAGCCCCACCACCCTCCCCCTCCCCTGAAGGGAGCCATTCTTCAGCACTTCTCCAGGCATTCCAAACCCTCTAATCACAAGTCAGAACAGTTACAAAATAATAAAAATACTCTCTTATTAAAACATAGAAATTAATGAACAAGTTTCACACCAACATGTGCCAAGCAGAGGTTGCACCAGCACACCTATCTCTGCTTCCAAGTGGAGCAGGGGTCACCCCAATACTTTCCTTCCAAGTCACTAGCCTCAGTGCCAAGCCTGCAAGACCACTCTGGACTTCATGACCCAGAACAGGGCAGGGCAACACAGCTCCCAAGTCCACCTGTGGATCTCTCCAGCCCCAACAGGCCTGTGGTTGAGGGAAGGTGTTTAATTTCATGATGAATATACAGACACACGTCAGCCACACAGGGTGCTCTACACACACTTCTTCCTCCAGTAAACTTCCTTGGCACTATTAACACCAGGCATGGAGCTGGTCCAGGTCCCTTCTTCCTGCTGCTCTCCAGACTGACATCCCAGACACCCTTCCTGCACCTCCTGCTTGTGGCTGCATCCAAGTGCAGTTCCACCTAGTGCCAGAGAGCCCAGAGCAGCAGCAACTGCAGAACTCTGAGGAGGCCAGAAGGCAAGAATACCCTGTTAATTCTGCAGGAAAAAACAGAGGAAGGAATGGTAAAATGAGGGTAACTCAGTCCAGGAGTCCAGGCATTAGCCAGAGGCTTGTTCTCCAGAGGCTTGCTGCGAGGGCAGGATTCTCCACAGGGCAGCTGATCTCACCCACAGGGCAGCATCAGTGCTTTGTGAACAGTACCCCAGGCAGTGGTGCCTGCACATTGCCTCGTGCCAGGCTCTGGGCAAGTGTGCTCTGCCCTGCAGCCTCTTCTCCAAGCCTCTCCCAGGAAGTCAGGGGCTCTCACTGCAGGAAAGTGTCCATTCTGGCCTGGCTGCTGCTGGAGGAAAATGCAGGAGCTGCAGACGCTGGTCTGGAGACCTTCTTCCTGCTCCTAACTGGTAACGGACGGATTTCCGTCAGGTTTGTCTGGAGGCAGAACTGTCAAGGAAAGCACAGAGCAGTGCCCTGGGAACACAAGTGATCCAACACCTGCTGCAGTCCAGCCTGAACCACAGACCTGGGACCCAGCCATATATCTGCATCCCCAGAGGACAGGATGGGCTTTGCTACCTTCTCACAGGAGCAGAGCTTGGACACACACCTGTCCCACGTGTCAGGAAACACTTCCCAGAAAGGGGGTTTGAACTGGATATTAGAAAACATCTCTTCACAAAAGAGGTGGTCAAGCATTACAGCAGGCTGCCCAGGGAAGTGGTGGAAGTCCCTGCAAGCATTCAAAAAACATGCAGACATGTTGGTTAGGGACATGGGTTAGTGGTGGGCTTGCTAATGCTGTGTTAATGGTTGGACTCTGACCTTAGAGCTCTTTCCCAACATTAATGATTTCACATGATTCTATGCTATCTCCTTGCACATAAACCAGCATTTTAACAGCATATTCGAGCTGCAAGACCTCCTAAGCCAGGACACTGTGCAGGTGAAGGCAGAGCAGCCAGAGCCTGCTGCCTCCCATGGCAGAGCAATCCCAAGGCAGGAGCAGCTCCACACCCGGGGGTGAGCTCAGCCCAGCCACTCCTCACCACTGTGGAGCAGCAGCAGCCCACAGAATGAGGGCTCCAGCTGCACGGGCTGGCAGGCACACAGCCAGAAGAGGCTGTGCTACACTGCTGCTGTAAGATCTCAAGGGCACAGGCAGTCCCTGAAAACTGCACTGATTTCTAGCTGATGGGCTCCTCTGAACCAGCCACAAGTGCTCTCAGCAAGTTCAGGACCTTGATGCCTTTGCTGAGCTCAGATTTGTTCAGAGAGAAATCAGATCATTCCTTGAGGATCCCAAGTCCATTTTCTGTTGAGACCAAAGAGAAGGATCAGAAGTTAGGTGCCCACAGCATCAGTACTGCCACATAAGCTGCAGGAAAGGATACTGGCTCTATGAACTTTGTCCTGCCTCCCATGCCATCGTAGCCCGTCCTCACCTAGGAGAGAGAAACAAATGAGCCTGGAGCAGCACACAGAGCCTTGGCTACCTCTCTTCATGCTGGTTATGGGGAAGGGGGAGTAGTGCAGACCACAGCTTCTGGAGAGGGGTTAAAGGCACTTGGAAACACTCAGTACTTGTGCTAAGCCCTCACTTTTGGAAGAAGACAGACCCATGGGTATTAACAAAGTTTGGGAATATTGGGCACTTTTTTAGATAAGCCGACCAAGGCTTAGGATTTTGTCACTGGAATTGAAGAATACAAGGAGAATACCCTAAGCTCCAAGGAGGTGGAGGAATAGGACATTGAGAGCCACTTAGTCTGCTGCCAGGAAAGGAATGAGCATCTGTCATCTCTGGAGCTCTGCAGGACTGGGAAGTAGCCAGGTTGTGCTGTGAGATTTATTTTCCACGCACTGTATGTGGCAAGGTAAAAGCCTCATTCACTTCCTCTTTCAGGGTCAGTTCAGGACAGAGGTGGCAGTGCCAGCCTGGGCACCCACCAGCTGGACAGTCATACTTACAGAGCCCATGTTCCTGTGGGAACCCAGCAAACCACCCGAAGATGGCTTCTTGGAGAGAAAAGAGTTCCTGATGAATGCTGGCAAGAGTCCTTTAAGAGCATCATCCTCCAGATCATCTGCCCCGTTCTGTCCCACAAAATAACAAGAAAAGCCCTTTAACCAGCACAATCTGCTACATGGAATCCACATACAGGCAGCACTGATAACACAGACAGCTATTTAAGGTAATGGTTACTGCCATACCACGTCAGGTTGAAAACTAGCAGCTAACAACTCCCACTGGGGGTTATGTGGAACAGTACCCAAGAGGCAGGACACTGCCCTCAGCAAGGGCAAACAGCCACCTCAGCTGACCCCACAGTCCTTGTGGTCAGCTCCAGGTGCTGTTTGTGAAGCACATCTGGGACAGAATCATCACCAAGCAGGTGGGTCCCCACCCTCCCTTCTCCAGCCCTGTTCCAGGAGGCCTGAGGCAGCAACAGTGTTTCTAGGAGACCATCAAGGAAAACACTTTGAAGCACAGAGTAGTTCTACAGATGGGCCAGTCCACAGCCACAAGGGAGAAAATAGATTCTTTATTCCAAGCTTATTAACAGCACAATCAAAGAAGCGACACAGAAAAATCAAGATTAGTCATTTTACCTCCACTGTTTCCTTCAGAACTTTCTTCGCCAGATTTACCACAGGAGGCCTGTAAGGAGCCCAAGGAGCAAATCAGCAGAGATTTATTGTTCAAATGGAGCTGGCAAGGACAGACAAGGCCAAGCAAATGACGGCAAAGCTTGCAGCACGCCATCAGGCAGCTGGAGAGCTATCTGATCTCACACAGAAACTTCCAAAGCAGTGAGACTTTGATCTCTTTAGAAGCAGAAAGAGGAGGGGAAACTCACGGCTTTTTATCCAGCTTCTGCCTTTTTGCAGGGCCGAAGGGAGCTGTGCAGGGCTGGTGCTCAGGGGTGTCCACATCGAATGTAGCATCTAGATTGATCTCATCGCTGTGGGCCGGGCGGTGGAGCTTTGGATGCAGTTCCATGGGAGCAGGGCTGCAGGGGCAAGAAAAGCATCAGTCACTGAGCCACTGCCTGCCACCCAGGGGAAGGCAGCACTGCACCCCATGACAATGAGTGCTCAGACAGCAGTGGCACCAGGAGCTTACACCCCGTTCTGCTTACACGCCAAAGAAAGGACAACCTGAACCCCTGAACCATTAAATTCAATGTCCCAAATACTGCTCCCCCTCAAATGCTGAGCACTGTGACACCAGCTCCCAGAGCCCAGAAATCACACTGACACACTGCTGCTCTAAGGACACAACCCAGCCTGCTCTACTGGGCTAATGGCATACGCTCCTCAAGAAAGGCTGCATAAAAGCAGATGTCATTTCTCAGGTTAGATTCCTCTGCCTAGCTGAGATCCTTGGTCACCATACACCAGTGCATGCTCATCACATGGCCAGCTCTAAAGCAACAAGAACAGCAGCTTTAGGGATGTTTCCCAGGCAAGACACAGTGACAAAGACTTTTTAAAAACCCAGGCCATTCCTCCACCCTCTCCTGATCCAAACCCTCAGAGACTTTTTCCACATAAACCAAACATCATCCCGTCAGCCACAAGAAAAAGGATACAAGGAACAAAACCACCATGCCTCTGCAACACCTGCCAGACTAGTACATCTCTGCTTTCTCAGTTAAACTGTCAGCTCTGGCTTTGGACCTGCCTGTACTGTGTCTGAGGATGCAGCTCACTAACCTTTCCAAGACTAGCCGACTGAGTGTTTCCCTGGTTACAGATGGGACCTTCAGAGTATCCTGCAGGATGTCTATCTTTTTCTTCAAACTCTGGAGAGAAAAGGGAAAGCAGCCAGTGAGATAAAGAAAAATTTAGCAGTAGGTACTTTGCCCCTTTTCCATAAATCAACATCAGGTGGAGCTCAGAGGTAGGCTGGGAAATTTAGTCACTGAACAAAAGCCAGCATAACTCCTGGCTTTGCAGCTGCAGACCAGTCTGCAGTAACTGGCAGCTGGCCATGAAGAAAGATATTCTCACCAAGATCTCCTTGTCTGCATTCTTCAGATCTTTCTGTGTGCTTTTTAACTCCTCCTTTGTCTTCTCCAACTCTGAAGTCGTTTTCTGCAGCTGCAGAACACAACAGAGCGTGGGTTACACTTACCTGGGTAAGGGGGACTGCAGAGCCCTGTGAGAGCAGTGTGCTCTGCAGCACATGCTACTTCCCCTGTCTAAGGGCTCAGTTCTCCTGTGTCAGTCTGACCAACCTCTCATGTACCAGTGCAATCCAATCCCTACCCAATTCCACAAGCTGCCTGCAGAGGGATGTCCAGGGCTGCTCGCCCAGCATTTATGCCTCACGGCAACAGCTTTTCCCTGCTCTAACACTTGGTGGCTGCATTCTGAATTCCTGCAGGCCTTTGGACACACCAGAGCACAGCAATCACAAACCACAGGCCGGAGGATGGCTGTGCATCAGCAGTGCTGGCACATGGACAAGCCTGATTCAACAGGGAAGCATGGCAGCAGCAGGGGTCAGGAAGTGGACTGTTACCACTTCAGACACCTCAGTGGCTCCGGGAGCCTGGGCCAGCTCATGGACTGTGGGTACAGTCAGCTCTCTGGCAGCCAGACCTGGAGCCCCCTGAGCACTGACTCGCATCCTCCTGACCCACACTGGCCATCACAGCTTGGCTCTGACTCAGCCAGGAGCAGCCCAATTCCAGCAGCAGAACCTTCTGTAGGGGTTAACTTCTCTGGGGAGCACAGCACAGCAATCTGAAAACCTCCTTCTCCATTTGAGGGGACAGCAGCTATGGCTGAGTAACAGAAGTAGGCCAAATCCACCCACAGCTTCTCACTTTGTTGGCTTAGACACGGGGATGCCCCAGGGAACACCTGTGCCTTGGGGAGTGAGGCTACACACATGCTTTTCACAGGGATGCACTGCCAGAACAGACGAAGACAGTCCTGCCTGACCTGAACTAACAGACCCCAGCCATGCCTGGAGCAGGGTGAGCACAGCAGCAGAAACATGTCAGCATCCCCAAGCTCTGCACCAGCTCAGGACCAGACCAGGCAGGCTCTGTGCAGGGCCACCTGTGTGTCCTCACAGTGCTTTGGGAAGCTCTCCTGCCTGGGCACAGCATGATGTGGGAGCCCTAGCCCAGTTCAGTTGGCTGAAGGCACAAGGCTGGGTGTGACTGGATGTGCCAAGCCAGGTCTAAGACCTGCTCAACTAATACTGGCTCCAAACCCCCTTCCACTTCCTTAGGGACCAGTTCTGCAGCAGGAGGAGCTGGCAGCTGAGTGCTCAGCAGTGTATCTGGAATGGCTACTTCCAGAACCCAGTGGGAGCAGTGGAACACCTGTGTGCTGCTGCCTTCCAGCACAGGCTCCCTGCCAAACTCTGGCTGGCTCTGCACATGCTGTCCCAGCACTGTCCCCAGAGACTGCCCTCCTAACAGCAGCCCGTGAGCTGTTTGCTCATCATATCACATCCTGACCCAGAAACCTCAGCCTGACCCTTCCACACACCTGTACCCATCATGTGGGAGGGGGTCACTGCAGAGGCCTTGGGCCTCAGTTATGGACAGGGATCTTACAGACCAGATGTCACCCTGGCAACTCACACTCTCCCTTTACCTTATTATTGACAGAAAACAGCTCCTTTTTCAGCTTCTCTGTCATCTCACCAGAGATCTTCCGAGCTTCCTTCAAATTCTCATATTCCCTACAAAGAGACCCAAAGAGTCACACTGTTTGTAAGGTAGCTGAGCCAGAACTTCTCAGAGAGAAGCCAAGACCCTCAAATTGAAGCTCTGGACCTGCAGAGCCACCAGAGAAAACCTAGGAGACACAATGCCCTTTAAGGAACAAAAATGAGTAAGTGTCCTAACACTGTCACACATTCCACTGCACCACGGGGGAGAAAAAACCTGCATGGGGTACCATGCCTGATTCCACCAGCAAAATGGGAACCAGAGCCAGAGACATTTTAGTTGCCAGTGAAAAAGACAGAAAACAGAGCACAGCCTCCATGCTGGCAGCAAACAGGGGACTTTGCTTTAAGCGACTTTTCAGAGACTTCACACTACTGGCCATGCACATTCATTCCCAATTACACCACAGGGACACTTGCCTCATTACAGCTTTGTACCAAAGCTGCAGTTATTCAGCTGCCATCAGAACGGACACAAAAAAAGCTGTGGTTTTCCCCCAGCAGGACCAGATGGATATCCAGGTAGGGGAGGGCAGCAGTGGAGGCTTGCTTTGCCAGAGGCCACAGCTGCACAGTGCAGTGCTGCAGAGGGCACAACCCAGAGCTCTGCATCCGCTTGCTTTCCCCTGGGCATGAGAGGAAAGCAGAGGGAATAATCATCATCGCTTCATAGGTGCACTGACAACTCTGGAGACCGTTCCCATGGTGACACACATGTCACTACAGTGACAAGAGGAACAGTTCAGTGTGACAGGCTCCAAACTAGGTCCCCAGGATCTGTCAGTCAAAGCCCAGTGGAAGCCCTAAGAGGCAGTGAAAGCCCCACAGAGCCCATGTGCCTGTTGGTGCTCGGCAGAGGGCTCTCCCTGGGTATCCCCAGGACAACACCAGCCAGCTGTGCCAAGCCTGCAGCACCTACTTTTTGAGGGAGACACAGTAGATTGCAAGCTGCTCCACCGCTGCCTGCCCGACTCCCATGTCTCTGATCATCTCCTCCACTTCCGGGCGCTGGCTCTGAAGCAACAGCTCAATCCTGCACAAAAAACCCACAAACAAAAACATACCCTCAGCTCATGAATCACAAACAGACCTGGGAAAGAGACAAAAGCCCTGTTCCCCCCTCTAGGGGCTGGTGCAGCCTGAGCTTCTCCTGCAGGCACTCTGGGTGTCATGGGAGTAGAGAGACAGCTGCCTCACCTCAAGCAGGGCTTTTCACTGGGGAAAAGCAGCATTACTTGGACTAGAGAAGGGGCAGCTGCACACACATAGTGCACATGGAACTGATGCCCAGCTCTTGGTCCCTATAGCCCTGTGGCTGTGTTCCTGGGCTGGCATTCTGCCCCAGCATCCTCTGATAACAGAAATGGCACATAGCCATGCTCAGTGCACTAGAGATGAGGCCAGTACCCTGCCTTGCTGCTCTTTAATGAGAGCAGCTGTCTGCAAATTTAGCAGGGGCAGGAGGCATGCAAGGGTGGCTAAAGCAGCCGTTTCAAACCTTACAGGTACCATGATCCAGCACATGGAGGTGGGTGCTGCAGCAGGCCCAGCAGGACCCTTCTGCCCTCCCCAAAAAGGGCAGAGGGGTGCAGCCCAGCCTGCAAGGCCCAGGGAGCACTCAGATCTCACCGTTCCATGGTTCTCAGCTTGTTTCGCAGCCGCCGGGCCTCCTCCTTTGAACTTCTGTTATCCTCCTGCTGCTGCTCCAGGAATTTCATCTGCTTCTGCAGGGAAGCAAGCACACACAGACCACTAGTGAGGCTCCAGGGATTGTTGGAGAAGCATCCCGGCTTATGTGCACTGCGGGCAGCCGGAAGCACACATCGGCTAAATGCTACCACCACCTCAGCAGCCCGGGATTATGGAGAGTTGACTCCCTCCCACTGCACCCCCAGCTCTGCTCCCCACGAGCACAGCAGGGTCTCAGTGCTAATCACAAGGTGGGGTTGGAGCTGAGCCCATGTCACAGCCCCTCTCTGCTGCACAGTGCCCTGTATGCAGCGGTGACAATTTGTTTTTCAAAAGCAAAGGAGTCCACAGCAAGCAAACCCTGCTATTGCCTTTCCCTCCGTGCACAGCTGGTTGCTTCAGCCTCCCAACTCTCCTTGCTATTAGCTGCTTAGAGCACAGATAGGAATGAGTGGATCTCTTCTGGGAGACCTCAGCCAAACCAGACACCCACCCAGGCACTTCTCTCACCTGCTGCAAGTCTATTGCAGCCTATTGCCACTCCAGCAGTAACACAGAACCTCAGCTGAGATAGAAAAGCACACATCTGCAGTGTGGCAGAGAATGGGGATAGCTGAATTAGCACCATTCTGATGCATCTGTGCTGTCTAGGTTTGTGTGTGCCTGGGCACCTTGCACAGCAACTTTAAAAGGCTCTGGTTTCAGCATAGCACTGATTGCAGGGAAAGGCCTGGCAAAAGATCAGTGTCTTGTAAAGCTCCTTCCCACACAAGTTAAAGGATTTTATCCACTTCCTGCCACAGAAACCAAACAGCTGTGAAACCGCCAGGAAGTTGAGGAGGGACAGTGTTGCAGGCTCATGTGTCACTCTTGTTTAACTGGAGCTTGTCTTTGGCTTTTCCCTAACCAGAACTCTCAACACTTCAGATCCCCACAGCAGTGTTTTGTGCCTGGTCAGGGCAGAGGTCCCAGCTTCAGCCAGCCTGAAACTGCAGCAAACTGGCAGTGCCAGCAGAAGACAGGCCCAGCTCTCAGCCTTAACCTGCGTCACAGCGAGTTAAGCCTGTATTTTCACTGCAGAAGTTTAGTGCTTTAATGATGCAGTTTAAGACAGTGCTTGGCATTCAGCTGGGAAACCCCACATGCCACAGAAAAGATACCTCCAGGTTCTAATCCTTCTGCCCTGCCCAGCTTTCATTAAAGGGACTTAAGCATACAGAGAGGGTTTTGCAACAGGGAAGATAAGCACAGAGCTCCTCCAGAGGTGTCAAGGCATGAAAAGCAGCACTGAGATGCTGAGTTGAGCAGCAAGTATTGGCTCTCACTGTCACAGTTATTTCTGCTGGAGTAGGGGGCGTCAGAAGTATCCTGCCACTGACCTGTCCAGGATCACACCAGCATCTATGGCATGGCCAAGATCCAGGCTGCCTTTACATGCAAGCAGATTGGATAAAATCCCATGGCTGGGCAAAAACAGTTGTGCTGGCTCACAGCGAGGCCTGCCTGGCATTAATTCCTTACTCTTTCTGACCTTTCAGGTAGATCTCCTGGATGCTTCCTCCCAAAAGAGCCCAGCTGCAGGTGGCCTACAGCACGACAGCACCATGACACGTCTACAAGCTCTCTCTGGGCCACTTGGCCTTGCAGGTCAAGAAACAGGATGTAGTTTAGGATACTGGGTTAAACAGCATGGGAAGTGCAGTAGACCCTTATCCCACTTTCCAGCCTGCAGCTCACAACCTCACCTGCCTGCACCCCACCTTCTTGAGACAGACACATCACCTTCACACAGCACAGACTGCCCAGCCCAGCATCAAGGCAAAGCTGCTCCAAAACATCCCTGCTCAACAAAGCTGCTCCTGCTCTTACCCTCTTCCTCTTGCTGTTTACGCATAGTACATGACTACACACTGAGTCACTGCACACTGAAGCACAACAGGAATATTTGATCCCTGGACTTCACAACATTACTAACCTAACTGAGGCAAAGCCCTGGCAACAGAACAGAGACAGGAGAGTTAGCTGGATCAGATCCCACTCAGCTGAAGCCTGCAACTCCCCCTCCATATTTTTCAGTTTGATTTCTCCCCCTGATCAAAGTAAGAAAATAATTTTCCTTGAATCCCACTTGGCCTAAACCCATTTCAGAAGAACATTCTACCTCAGGGAACCACTGTTTCAGCAACAGGGTGCTGAGGCTAGCTCCCACACTAGATTCCCGCTACTACCTTTATGGCCAGCACTGCCGCTTCATTAGTGAGGCTCAGTCACATTCCTCAGACTGGGCTGGCATTTTTCCCTCGCCAGGGATACCTCTACCTTGAGCACCTGTACACAAACCACGGGCCTGTAGGCTTTTTACGCCTCTGAATCACCTCAGGCAGAGCACAAACAGGACCTCAAGACCAGCAACAGCACTTGCTTCAATTAATCAAACCGAAATGAAAATCCAGGTACCAGACCCAAAATCCCACCAGCACAATCTCTTTATTAGCAGGATCTGCAGAGATCTTCAACAGAACTAACACTGACTGCATGATGGTTAGTCCTGTTGGGGACAGGAAGGGTACCTTGAGAGAGGAGCACAGCATCTCTGTCTCTCCCAGCATCTTCTGGAGTGACTCTATCGTGGCATTGCGCACATCCAGAGTGTCCCTCAGCCCATCCACAACAGCCTGGCATTCCCGCTTTTCTTTCTCTGGAAACGAAGAAAGAGAAAGGTCATGGCCTGGTAGCCCAGAGTCCAGTTGCAGCAGAGCAGCAGGAGCACACAGACTGCTTGCAGGCTCAGCTCCAGGCTGCCAGGATTCAGCCATTCCTGGAGAGAGCCATTTCTCTAAGTGGCGTCTGCACCAGGGTCTGTACTGAGCAATTGCTTCTCTCAGTGCCAGCAGGCTTCAAGATTTCTTTACTAAAGATAAAAAATTCCCTTTAATAGCTTTCCAGTGCCAGCCCTGCTAGCATTAAGATGATGAATCTTAACTCTTGCGTTTTCTCAAAGCCAGGCTTGCACAAGGAAATAATTCCTCTCAAGTTACACCAAGCTGTCATAGAGCTGGAGAAGAGAGCTTTGTATCCATCCTCTCCACATGGAATTTTACATGTCAGGAGCCCCTTTGGGGGCCATTGGGCAGATGTATGCAGGGGTCCACCAAGCTGCTGCATGTGCCCTCATTAACTACAGCACCTACATCAAAGGGCAGGTGCTGGGGGCACTGCAGGACACATGACAGCTTAAATAGATTCCCCAGGTGCCCACTTTTTGCAGGTCACAAAACCTTTACATCCTGCTCCCCCTCTCCCTGACAATCCAGGAGCAAAGTACATGCCCCTAACCACCAGAGTGAAGGTGGTGGAAACCACCACTAGATTTCAATTTGTTTTGTGGAGACAAGGGAAGGACAGCTCAGAAAGCAACAACCACTATCAGGAGCTGCCAGACCAAGCAAGGAACAGCCACCATCATTGAAAAGCTCAAAGCAGTTGGGTAATGAGGGAAAGCAGGAACCTCTTCACCTAACCCTGCTGAGGGCAGGGTGAAACCTTCAGCTCAGCATCTTCAGTCTTTGCTATAATTGCCTGTGGCTCCAGCCTGGCAATAGTAGAGAGCCAAAAAGTGCCTTTCAAAAAAACTTGTTCTCCTTGCAAGCCATCCAGTTTCAAATTCTGCCTCCACATCCTGTGGAAGCATGACCTGCAGTGAAGCTTCACTGTTCAATCAGGGAGTAAAAGAGCCATGTGGGACCGAGGAACAAGACAAGAACATGTTTCAGCAGAAGCACACGGGCGGCTTCTGCATCAATCTGAATAACCCTTTCCCACCAGAGGCAGTGTCTGGAGACGCTCCCTTGCATTTGCAGGGACTCCACACCCACTGGAAGAGTTAGGGCTTCCCCCTCCTCCGTTCCCAGCTGCCCAGAGGCAGATGGCAGGAATCAAACCCCTCCATGCTGCAGGAATGAGTTTTCAGCTCATTCAGAGAGCCTCCCACAGAGCCTGCTGGGTCTGCTCGGAGCTCGGCACCTCTCGAGCCATTTGCAGGCTGATCAGAGCCTGGCAGCTCCACAGCTCCTCTGCAGCACACAGAGCAGAGCACAGCTTCACATGGAGAACTTATACCCAGGAACCAGCAGAGAGCAGAGTACCCACAGCAAAGGAGGCAGGAGGTGGGAAGGAGCTTCGCGTTTCCAATATGAAAAGAGAATGGGACAGGGAATGTCAAATCCAACCTCTACTCACCAGAAGCCGAGAAGATTAGCAGGCCTTCAAGCAGTTTTTCTTGGATAATATCCTAGCAAGAATCCCAGCCACCTTTCCCAGAAGATCTGGCTCTCTACCAAGTCACTAAACTCAACCAAGCTGGCAGGAGAACAGGCCTCAGAATAGAGACGTGCAGACCATCCAATTCTACTCTCAGGCTAAGGACCGAATCCTCAATCTACTGGCTATTCATGTCTGTCTCGTGCATGCAGGGAACGCAGAGGAAAGACAACTCTTGGGGCGTGGGTGAGCCCCCAGCATTCTTTAAACATTTTTTTACCCTTCTGCTAGCATGTTTTAGGATTTCTGTCACTTAGACTGACATTTTCCTTTTGCTGCTCATGACTCATGTTCTGATGACAGGCTGCCTACAGACGATGCTTAAAACCCATCGACAAGTCTCCAGGGCTTTTGCTTTTCCTGCCTCCCTCAAACATCCTCTAAAATTAAAGATGGGAAGATGGAAGTGCGTGCACACTGAACTCCGTCTGCTCTTCGCGCGACACATGTGGCACTGCAACAGCCAAACAAATCCAAAGCCTTCCCACTGCTGCTTTTGGACATCACTTTCACCCTCTATCTGCTGGAGGGAATGAGTCTTTGCCATATGCAGCTGTGAGTTTCCCAGCAAGCAAACCAAGGCTTTTGCTTTCAAGCCTGCTCCAGATAGAGCGTTGCTGCAATTCTGTAAGCTTGTGACTAGGAAGGGGGCAAAAATATTGCATCTACTTGTCTGAACTCGCAGTGAATTCCAGAGTTACAGCAGAGCTGGGCCAGGCTGTGGACTCAGGCTCTGTCACATAAGCTTTGCATCACTGTAGGTGTTCTCACCTCAGCAAAAGCTCCAAAGAAGTTGCTCTAGTGAAACAGTTTGCAGCCTGAACCATGCTCTCGGCTTCAGAGAGGACTGGCCTCTGCACAGGGGCTCCTCAGACCTGGGCAAGCCACCTGGCACAGGCAGAGCCCAGGAGCTGCTGATTGTGTGCTGCTGATCCTCTGCAGGCTACAGGAACTCACCTTTCAAGGAGAGCTGGGCCTTCACCTTGTCCAGTTCATTCTGAAACACAACACAGAGAACCCCATTAGGAAATGCCCTGCAGAGATGCTTTCACCAGATCTTAAAAAGACCCAAAAGGTTTCTCAGCAGGACTTTGGAGCAGGCAGGTACTAAGGAGGGAATATGGAAACAACAATCACGGAGTTACAAGCCTGGATTATCACAGGGAACAGAAAGAGCACCTCCAACTGGCATTCTTCAGGGGGAGAAGAGAGGATCGCAGCTTCAGCTTAGCCTTGTCAACCTTGTGTTTCTCACGCTGTCAGTCATCCTGTTTTAGCTGAATAATTTTGGAAGGCTCTCAGGGAAACACATGAAGTCAGGCAAGAACAATTTTTATGTTTTACCTAAACAAAGCAATAAGGGAGGGATGTTGCCAGACTAACTGGATTACTGAGAGTTCTTTAAACTGAAGTGAACTTTAATCAGATGGAGGTGGGAGACAGGAGAGCACAGCCAAACACCTGAAAAGGTAACCAAGCATGCACTCAAACATGCTGACAGACACTGAAGTCACTGCAGTTCAGAATGCTGATATGAGCTAACAGCTCAATCGAACAGCTGGAAACAGATCACTGAGAAACCAATCCATACCACACCAGCTGAGAGTGCACAAAATCTCCTGGGTACCACAAGGGTCTGAGGAACATCAACATTTCTAACGCCTTCATCAAGGATCAGCAGATGCCCGGTAGTTTAAATTAGAGAAAATGAAGTGATATAATTTAACACTGGCGAATAGCCAAAGGAAATGTAGAGAGGTTAAAAAGAGAGGCTATTTATATCTATATATCTATATGTATATTTAAAAGAAAAACCAGAGAGAGAAATATATGCAGGAAAGAGTCAACAGAAGATGACTTAAAAAGCTGTGTTAGAGAACTGCAGAGGAAAGCACATAACAAGTCAGGCAGGAACTGCAGTGGAATAAAACCACAATAAAATGCCAACACAGGCACACAAATCTGTGCAACCCGGAATGCTACATGCAAATCTGAGCCGAGAATAGCACCAGCAGTGACCACAGCTCTGATAGGACCAGAGCTAGGGCTCTGCTAGTGACAATAAAGGGAGGAAAGGGAATGTGGGATGTAAAGCTTGGTAAGCAGAAGGGACTAAATGCAAAACCTAGCAGAGCTGACTGGGATTTGCCCCAAGGGGCACAACTGCTGGAGGGCTAACGTGGAATTAACTCTGCTGCAGGAACTATTCTGAAGCAGCTTCCTCAGAGTCCTATTCAGGAACGATTAGTGGGCTCACAAGATGTGCTAATTATCATGATAGCAAAGAAACCCTGGGCTACTTCAGGCAGCTATGTAACATTACCTCATTCATCAACTTAATCTGAAATCCCTCATCCTCCACCACAGCTCCTAAAAGCCGCTCCCAATTTTCTCTCCTCTGAGAGAAGCTCTCCTCTCTCTGCCAGACTGAGTTACCACATTTTCCCAAGATCAAATGAATATATCCTGACCACAAACAGACAGCTGTCCTCCAAGGCTTCTACCTTCCCCAGCAGGTTTACAGGCAGGAATCCTTCCCCCACCTCCTCTTCACCAAGCTGAAATCTCATTTGGAAGAATTCTGCACTCCCCAGATCACAAGCAGCCCTTGACAGACTCACTGAGGTGTTACACTCCAAAACTCACCCTTTTCCTGCTCTGGGAACAGCCACATGGAGACTGTTCTGCTCACAAGGACCATCTTTAAATTCAGTATAGGCTAAACCCAGGTTCAGTAATGAAAGAAATGCTTGGACACTTAGCCTGTGGTCTGCAGCTACTCCAGGGATCCACCTTCCCCCTGCTGTTTCTGTTGAAGTTTTAGCCTGGGGGTGGAAAAGCAAAACAGCCCCAGCACTCCTTTAACTGTAAACATTTCTGAGTAACAGCAACAGTGAGAAACAGAAACAAAAGACAATTACAGAAGATAATTTGGCTAATTCTGCAACAACAGGAAGGGGTTTCAGATCATGAGGGGGCTCTTCCAACCACTTCACTGGGTACTAAAGACTGATCCTCCAAAAAGAGTCCCAAGCTTGTCACCCCAAGATGACAAGAACACCACAGCTACACACTTTGCTTTCTCACATCTCTTTCATGGCAGGAGGCCAAATGCTCATTCCAAGACAGCTGTGGGCTGCACAGATACAGCTCCAGCTGATTACAGAGATGAACACCACTTTATGCCCTTGGATTTTTTTTTTTCTTCCTCAGGTGAAGTTGCTTCTGGCTGAGGATGCCAGAAGTTCTTATCTTATCCTCTGAAGAGCCCAGGCTTGGCCCACCATGAGTTCGCTTTGAACTGGTGCCTGGCCAGAATCAGACACTCCATCACAGACAGACCTTACATCTAGGTGGACCTTAGTACCTCGCCCATTGTGAACAAGACATCTGTGCTCTTAAGGTACTCCATGTCCTCCAAAAACAAGGCAGCACACCACATGAAACTGGTTGCAGCAGCAGCCTGTACAGTGCACACAGCAGTGAATACCCACACAAGCTAATGATGCTGATTTACCCAGAAAAGTATTTGGTTCTTTCCGTTGGTGACCTCAGAGCCCTCATTAAGCAGGCTGTACACTGAGGCTAGATGTTGCTGTGACACATGCACACAAGATTTATAGGAGCAAGAGCAGTTACCATTAAGTTTGTTGTGCAGGAGCAGCTCCACAGTGCTGCCCTTGAGCAATGGAGCAGTTCTGCACAGCCTGCCTGGAGCAGAAGGCTGGGGGAACCCATTTTAGATCCTGGAGTGGGGGTGAGAGAGAACAGGAAGATTTTCTAGGGCAATTCTCTCCAGACAACCCATTTCCAAATCACCCATCTCATTAGACTCGTGGGAATGGATCTCAATCCGTACAAAAGGAAATGTGTATCTGCTGCGAGGGCCCATGGCTCCCAGGGCCCAGAGATGCTCCTCCACTCCTCTGCACACTTCGCTCTTCAGACTGGTTACTGGTGGTCTTGGAGAAAGACAGTGCTACTGACATTCTAGTCTGGCTGGTTTTATTTTAAAGACATACAAAGTACATATAGAATTGTCATGGCAACTGCTAATTATGGTAATTGCTGCACATGCTGCTTCTAAACACAAGAGGGTACAAGCGTCCTGTTATACCAAGGTCAACCGGCCACCCTTTTTTGGAACAGATAATTCCAAGACAGAAGGAGCCCTGTTTCATCCACACTACACAAAGGAGAGAAGGTGGAACAGCCACTCTGTGTTTATCCCTACTCATCCCCATCTCTCTGCACCCAAAGGTGGCACTTGGAGCACACCACCCAGCACCCCAGCTCCAGCCAGGATCCCGCCAGGACCCAGCCTCCACGTTGGTCACTGCTGCTGGTGTGGCTTCAGGCATTCCTTTCCTACTCTCTCTCGGGGAATCATGACTTTATCACCACCCTGCCCCACATCCTTCAATCTGCACAACCAACCTTCCTGCACAGAAGGGAGGAGCAGGAGGCACTTCCTCCAATGGACCCCTCTCTCCAGAGGGGTTAGCAAGGCTCACACACAGCCACACCACAGATACCAGCAGCAGTTCACTGCATCTGGGATTTCCCTTCTCCTGTCCTTGGAACAGCTCTGTACCCTCATTCCCAAGGGAGGAACAGCAGTCCAGCAGGTTTCCAGGTAAAGTGAGAAGCAGAAGGAAGAGCAGGAAGGAGAGGAGGTTCCTTGGGTCACCGCATGGGATTTGATCAGAGGGAATGCTAAATCATCAGAGAATGAAATGCTTCAGGTCAGACACATGAGCACAGCAAGCTCCAGCCTGGGAAGCACCTGCTGGCAGAGGACCAGCAGGCCAGGCCACCCTTCCAGGAGGCTGAAGCATCACATGAGGAAAGAACACCCCCGTCAAGTTACCTGCAAGGTCTCAGCATCCGGTGCTGCTTGCTCGTCCAGGGTAACATCAAAAAACAGCTTACTGATGATGTGTCTTTTGCTGACCTAAACACAGGAGACAGAAGAGTTTGATGGGCACAAATATGGAAACAACAGATATGGAAGACAGATGGAGGGGGAGAAGGTAGTGTCTTGTGACAAGGCCATGAAAGGCAAATCAGATCACGTGTTTGACACCATTAGTGGTGATGCTCTGCTTTGGCTCAACAGCACAGCAGCAGACCCCCCACTCAGTTTCTGGGAGTGTGACTCCAGCCAAGCTCCTGAGCCGCAGCAGAAAGATTCAGACATTTCTGAATCGAGCGCAGTCTGTTCTCTGGCAGCTCAGCCCAAAGCAGCTGATGCTGAGCTAACATGATGCCAAATCCTAAGACAGAAGTACGTGCTGCTTTCTGCAGGCAGAAGGTGCTGTAATTGAATTTGATAGCTCTCCACACCTCCCCCATGCAGTTACAGCTTTGTGTTTTAAGTATTATATACAGTCATGACACCAGCTAATTGCATGGTTACTGCCACATAAGATGTTATTTCGCGATAACTCCATGGTAACCCAGAGATGTAAGAGGCAGAGAAGAACAGAGGGAATCAACAAGTCAGGGAAGGAACAAGGGCCAAGACCTTGAGAGGAGAAAAGAAGCACGAACACAGAATAAGCCCAAGCAGCAGCTGGCTAAAAATCTACATGAGAGCAAGGAAACATCTCCTGCAGCCACTACGTGCTAAGATCTGCTGGTGGCATGAAGGCTGGTGACACAAGGGACTTCAAAGACGTTCAAGTCCCAGTTAAGCCAATGGAAACCCAAGGCTCAGCTTCCTATCTCAGAAGCAGAGCACATCCTTCCTTCTCTCCCCAGCCATCGCTTTTCTCAAGGGAGGGTCAAGTACTGCTAAACCAGGAGGGGTTGCAAGGCCCACGTGCAGCAGACAGCTGGGCACACCAGAAACACCAGCCAGGTGCCCCATTAACCCTTGCAGCCCCTCCTGTCATCATGTCAGTACTTACCCAGCCTAAGTAAAAGCTGTGAAAACCCACAGCCCTTTTGAAAGGAGCTGCAGTGCAGACAGCAGCAGGGCACCCTCAGCCCACTGCAACCCCAAGGGCTGTGGAGGGGAGTTCCTCTCCTCTGGGGAGTCCCAAGTGACAGAAAGTCCCTCTGCTTTTTACCATGAGCCTTTTTCTGGCATCACCCCAGGCCACAGCTCCTTGGTGCCACAGGGGATGGCTTTACCTGGTTTCTGCACTGCGGGCATGTCCGGCTCGGTGCAGTGTCAAACCACTGGAAGAGGCTGAGAAAGAAAAGGAAAACATACAGTAAATCCTTACAGTCCTGGGGCACTGCTTCCAGGGGCCATCCCCCAGCTCCCCAGGGGCAGCAGGATGTGACTCCTTGTCACACACTCAACAGAACTGCAAACCTTCAGTCCAGCGCTGGCCGGCAGGAGCTCCATGCTCCACCCGCATCTCCAAGACAATTCCTGGCTGAATTTAGCATGTGAGCTTATCTTTAACAGGGCAGAGCTTTTGCAGAGCTCAGATCTCTCTGGGAGACAGGCACTGAAGAGCTGCAGCTTCACAGGAGCGAGTGGATGCGCACAGGAGCTGCTCTATCAGGGTGTGACAGCTGAGATGCCAGCGCAGGCAGCTCCAAGGGGTGCCACTGAACACGGATCTCTGAGCCAGGGGCGCCGGGCTGGCTCTGCTCTGGGACGATGAACGCAAACCTGCCGGGCTCCCCACGACAGCTGCTAATGCATTTTGCAACCAAGCCATCACGTCACACTGGAAAGGTTTATTTTGGGAGCAGGTAATGATTTGGAGCTGGCAGGTTACCTTTGGAAGCTCTCCCTGCTCCGCTGGCTGCTGGCAGAGAGCAGGCCCGAGCAGCGCTGCTGAGTGAGGAGTGACAATCACACCCGTGCTCCTTTCCAAGCTTGTTATCCAGGAAAGCAAATGCCCACTCTCTCCCCACACAAAGTTTATTTCCTCAGAAGAACCATTTCCTTTCAACACAGACATTTGCAACACAGTCCTAGAAAAGCATGGAATTACCAGGGCAGCTTCACCATAACCCAACATCACTCCCTCCAAACACCCTGTGACACTGGCTCTTCCGGAGAAGGGAGCCTGCAGGCAGCACAGCAACACAAGCACAGAATCAATTAGGTCGGAAAAGATCTGAGATGATCGAGTCCAACCCATGACCGATCACCACCATTCAGTGCCACTTCCAGTCCTGCCTTAAAGACCTCCAGGGACGGCGACTCCACCACCTCCCGGGTCAGCCCGTTCACACGTGCGACCAGCACAGCCCGGACTGCCGCGGCAGCTCCGTGAACTCCTCAGAGCCCTCGCGGGGGCCGGCAGCCCGCAGCCCACGGCCCGGCCCGAGCCCCCGCCCGCCCCGGCGCTCACCAGGCCTGGTGGAAGGTGTGCCCGCAAGGCACGGCCGCCACGTCCCGCTCGTTGTCGAAGAAGTCGGAGCAGATGGTGCAGTGGGCGCGGATGGGCATGGCGGGGCCGGGCGGTCGGCGCGGGTGGCCGGGGGGGCTCCAGAGGGTCGCGGCCCCGGGGCCGGAGCGGCCGCACGGCCCTGCGCGGTTCAAACGCGACCGCGAACGCGCCGCTTCCGGCCCGCCCCGGAAGTGACCTCAGGGGATCCCGCACCGGGGCCAAGGGTGGGGCCTGGTGGAGTGGGCGTGGTCTCTGTGGGCGGGGCCGAGGGCGCGGCCTGAGGGAGGGGGCGGGGCTCGCCCCCGGGCCCGTGCCCCGCGGTGGCACCCGGAGTCCTTCAGGAGATCCTTCCCGGGATCCTTCCCGGCCGCCGCCGCTCACGGGTCCCGCTGCCCTCACTGCCCTCGCTGCCCGGACAGCGGTGCCGCTTCCAGCCCGCCGCGTCTCGCTCAGCGCCGTGCTGCCGGCACGCGCGGCAGAGCCCGGGCCCCACAGAGAGACTGGGCAGGCGGCGCTGGTGCTGTCTCAGTTTGTCCTCAGCGGGGTCTTTATTTGCCAGAGATACAGCGGCGGGGCGCGGGGCGGCGGCGGCAGCCGCGGGCAGAGCCGGCCCTGCAGGCATGCAGCTGCGAGGGGGGAAGCGGGGACCGGGGAGGG